GACCATCTCAGGACCGAAGAGAAAGAGAACCGGCGAAGCGGCGGTGGGGGGGAAGAAACGGCGAACGGGCACTGCTGTAGAAGCGAGTAGGGCGGCCGAGGCAGCGCTTGTGGCGAACTATGTACCCGGCTGATGTTGTTGCGCCCTGTTTCCCTCCCTGCCGTATGCTATACTCCTTTATGTATGTCCTTTTTATTGCCTTCGGCCTCTGTGCTGTGTTTCTTTTTTTCATGACCTCCCTGCCTACTCTGCTGTGTTGGGTACCTTGATCTCGCTTTGCTGTTGCCTTTGTTTTTGTACGTCTGGCTGTCTGCCCATCTGCCGCCTCTTTGCCCTGTTTGCTCCGTTACTCCCATGCCCTGGTGCGCAGTGCCTGGTGCTGGTACGTTACCCTTTGATTTTTTCTTTCGGCGGGTGTGGGAAGCGTCCTCCTTTATTTTTCTGATATATATTTTTTGTTTTTTTATTTTTGTTTTGTTTTATTTTGATCGGTGTCCGAGGGCTCTTTTCTCGAACGAACGGTCGGTGCGATATCTGTTCTTTTCTTTCTATCATTTTGTTTGCTTTTTCCGAGTGGTCTGTACCCTATTTTTGTTTTTTTTTTGTTTTCTCGCGGCGTCGTATGTGCCGGGTTTTGAGACCACGGGCTCCCCATTTTTTGTGGACTATAGAGCTAATGTGAGAAACAACAACAACAACAACAACAACTACGCACCAGGGAATGGGGAGTAACGGAGCCAACAGAAAAAAGAGGCGGCAGATGGGCAGACAGCCAGATTTTAAAAGTAAAAGTAATAGCAAAAGGGAGATCAAGGTACTCAACCAGGCAGAGTAGTCTAGGGGGCCTTCCGGCGAATGAGGGAGAATGCTGTAGATGTTGGAGTTTCTTAGGAGAAACAAATATACACACAGAAAGACTACCCGTTCGAGGTATAACTACACTCGAAGGGGATGTGTTGAAGTCTTTACAGTGAGTAGTGGAAAACCAGCTGGGTACTTGACTTATTTCGAGTTTGTTTAAGCCTATACACTGATGATTTATATCAGTGATACCAGTTGGTGCTTAGCACAAAAACATCTGCGTAGGTACATTTACATGTGGCCTGCACAGGGAACACGGCGCAATATGTCATGTTGACAGTAGTTGCTGGTTTAATTTAGAAAAATACATATATTAGGAAAAACAAATATGCACACAGAAAGACTACCCGTTAAACACATAAAAGCTCCCTGTTCGAGCGAAATTCATAGTCGTTCGAGGGGGGCTTTTTACAGCAGTATTTAGGAAAAACAAGTATACGTGCAGAAAGGCTACATACAGCAATGAATGAAAAGTTTCTGTCGGGAGGGAAAAAGGAGACTGGTTCTAGAACCGTTTCGGCGAGACCAACCGAAAGAAAAAAAAAACGAAAAAAAATAACTTCGATACATTTTTCAAGATAAGCGATGCGGCGCATCCTGTTTCACGATGAACATCGACGACTCATGCCTCGTTCTCCATCGTTCTCCACGGCAATCGACTCCGCTTGGTCGAATTACATACAGAGGACACCACTCTCGAGATCCTCAGCCCTAAACGCCAACATCTACGGCCGTGCCGACTCGGGCCTGGCCGTGACTCGTTGCAGTCTTATGCTTGTAGACCGCATAATCCACGTCCGCGGGAAAAAGAGGGTAGTAAGCACCGGAAGAAGCACAACCGCGGGATACTGCTAACCTCCTGACTGTTAAATAAGGGTACCACCAAGGAAGCTGGCAGTAAGTTGTCCTCTATAGTTGCTGATGAACATCAGCTCCGCGAAAAGGGTAGAGAGCATGCTGAAGCCATCCAAGAACGAGCATCAAAGCGCGGCAACCAACAGGCTGCTGCTGCTGCTGCTGCTGCTGCTGTTGCTGCTGCTGCGGGGAAGGGGAAGCGCAAGGGGGCGGGCGCAGCACTCTTCGACCCTCTAGCATTGACTCACGATGGCGGGACGAGAAGCGGGACTACCTCAGAGGCTTCGCGCGAGGAACAGGTGAGGTTTTTGGTTGCTGAAATGCTGTTGAAATGCTTGGACTACAATTGTACTTCTTGGCGCCAATTCGCGCCGCTCTAAATTACAGCAGTATTTGAATTTTGGTACGCACGGGCCTCTGATGCTCGTGCTCCCGAGATTGATCTCCATTCCTCGACTTCGTGATGTTAGCGTAGAAGGCGCATTAAAAGTTGCATAGAATCACTGTTGTACTTGCTGCAGTCACTCTTCTACGTGTGGCATTTGTTGTTGGCCCACCTATTCTCCTGCTGAATATAACACACACCCTCCCCCGACTCCAACAACTCCTGATACATCTAAGGGGGCTTCGGAGGAGCGCCGCTCTAGCGCGCTGGAGTTGATCCAGAAGGACCACGTGTTGATGGAGCGAGTACGGGTCATGCTGGGGGCGAGCGCTGCAGACCAGGCAGCAGCTAAGGAGGCGGCGGTCAACGCGGCGAACACTCGCGCGCTCCGTGCCTCGCTCCAAGCGCTGAAGCGGCACAGCAACAGCTCGACAGGGTGGACCGCGTACACGACAGCGCTCGCCACAGCGGCGGAAGCGGGGGGAGCACACGTGTCCTGACCCCAACCTGTGCCACCCTGGCAACCGGTGCAAGCCCGCTGAGCCTGGTGGAGTGAGCTTTGCCGAGCGAGCCAAGAGTCTAGGCATTCGGTACGAGACTTTCAGCGACGCACGTGTGCGGATGCACAACACGAACCACGACATCGCCCCCAGGATGGCTGTGAGTGACGGGTGCTACGTGTACAACGAGCGCAAGACACGGAGTGACGTGACGAATCCCGAGGTCATGGTGACGTGAGGAAGAGGAAGAGGAAGAGGAAGAGGAAGAGGAAGAGGAAGAGGAAGAGG